ATATGTAAATGTTTTTACATCTTCCAAATCTTCTCCGTCAATTGTGACTGGATCGGTGCATGTTGTGTTGTATTGTATTCGAGAATCTTGCTTTTCCCTTTGTGAATATTGAGACTTGCTGCTGCTACACTGGTCGTCTTCTCCTGCATTTGTTGTTGCGTTTGGGATAGAAGGGCCAGATCATATGCGAAGTCTAGATCGTCCAACTGCATCCCAAATGTTCACTGTATCCCGTGCTTTCATTCAGATGTTGATGTCTTAGTGATCCAGTCGATCACCAGGAGAAAGATAAAGGGTGAGAGTAATCAACGTTGCCTGACACCGGTCTTTACTTCAAACGAGTCTGAGACCTGTCCTCCATGTACGATTTTGCAGTGTAATCCATCATATGAGCTCTGTATGATATTGACTATCTTCTGAGGCACGCCGTAGTATCGAAGAAGCTTCCATAGTGTTGTCTTGTGCACGCTATGTTGTGTTTTTTTTTTTTTTTTTTTTTTTTTTTTTTTTTTTTTTTTTTTTTTTTTTTTTTTTTTTTTTTTTTTTTTTTTTTTTTTTTTTTTTTTTTTTTTTTTTTTTTTTTTTTTTTTTTTTTTTTTTTTTTTTTTTTTTTTTTTTTTTTTTTTTTTTTTTTTTTTTTTTTTTTTTTTTTTTTTTTTTTTTTTTTTTTTTTTTTTTTTTTTTTTTTTTTTTTTTTTTTTTTTTTTTTTTTTTTTTTTTTTTTTTTTTTTTTTTTTTTTTTTTTTTTTTTTTTTTTTTTTTTTTTTTTTTTTTTTTTTTTTTTTTTTTTTTTTTTTTTTTTTTTTTTTTTTTTTTTTTTTTTTTTTTTTTTTTTTTTTTTTTTTTTTTTTTTTTTTTTTTTTTTTTTTTTTTTTTTTTTTTTTTTTTTTTTTTTTTTTTTTTTTTTTTTTTTTTTTTTTTTTTTTTTTTTTTTTTTTTTTTTTTTTTTTTTTTTTTTTTTTTTTTTTTTTTTACCCGACCGTTGTTGCTACCTTGACGTGGTGGTCGGGCTTGCCTATCGTGATGAAGCAACCGAGCTATACTGACTGGAACAACCGTTCCTCAAGGTCCTACCATGTCAGACAGGTCGGTTGAAGAGCGGTAAGACTAAAAGCAACAAACCCAAGGTCCGAAGTCGTACTGCTGACTGTACAGAGGTGTGACAGCAGTAAGGTGTTTCCTTCAGACATCCAGCATGACAGCGATGCTGCCTTCCCACAAGGAGGGGTGGGGTTAGAAAAGGTCGACCCTAAAAATGCACACCTCACCTTACCTCACGGATTTCCGTCTCCGGCGGTAAGGCCCTTTGAAGAACGGAGCTTTCACGTCGAAAACCTTCTACGAAAAGGCCGTGCGCGACCGGCCTCAAGCAGTTGTCCCTTGGGCACTGCGGTCACGCTCTCAGGTCACTGAGACCGACTCTAATCCAATTTCCTTTTCAGGTACCTCCAGAAGAACCCTTCCACGGTGTGGGCAACTGGGAAGTGATAACCGCCCTCATACCTCTAACAGCACCCAAGCTCACTGTATTCATAATCAACCTTCCTCTTCAATTCCTATTATTCCTCCTACATCGACTTTCAACCCTAAACTTCCTCCTTTGGCTTCCTCCTCAAGTGTCACCATAGCCAACGATTCTAGTGCTCAAAACTCTGTCCCAGGTCTACTGAAACCTCGCTCCAAACTACACATTGGAGCTTTCAACGTACGCACTCTATGTCAAATCGGTCAACAGGCTTCCTTGGCTAAAACCCTAGAGTCTCTTTCCATTGATGTATGCTGTGTCTCTGAAACACGCATACAGGATCCCAGTGTGGTCATTCACTTGACCTCACCTCGGCAGAACAGAGAGCCAACGAGATACACCCTTCGTGTATCTGGTGACCCGATGGCCAGTTCTCGTGGACTGGCAGGTGTAGGCATAGCACTAAGCATGAAGGCCGAACAAGCACTGCTAGAGTGGATCCCCGTCAACAGTCGTCTATGTGCTGTTCGGCTGAACGGCTGCGTAAGAACTCGGAAGTATAGGGACACACGTCGTTGCCTTTTTGTCGTTTCTGTCTACGCTCCCACTGACTGCAGCTCAGATGAAGTGAAAGATGAATTTTACAGAAAGCTTTCTGAACTTCTTCAGAAAGCTAAACGCTCAGACATAGTACTCGTAGCAGGTGATTTTAATGCTCAGATAGGTAGCTTAAACCAAACAGAAAGGCATTTAGGTGGATATTTTAGTATTCCGACACAGCGAACAGATAATGGTGATCGTCTGCTGCAGCTATGCTCAGACAATCGTTTATTTTTATCAAACACAAATTTTAAGCATAAGGAGAGACATCGTCTAACATGGCGACCCCCTACACCAAACCAACGATGGACTCAAATAGACCATATTGCCATCAGTCATCGTTGGAGAGGGTCGGTAGAAGATTGTCGCTCATTCTGGAGTACCTGCTTGGACTCCGACCATGCCCTAATACGGGCACGCATCTGCTTGCGCCTCACTGGACGCAAAAAAGCCACATTAAAAAGACCCGTTAGAACTGAGTTGAGTAACGAGAAAACCAAAAGTAGGTTCCAGGAACAACTGAGGTCACACTTAGGTAGTTGTGAAGACGAGGCTGACCCAGATGTTGCTTGGAAGGGCATACAATCAGCTGTGGAAACAGCAGTGACATCTATTAGTGACTTAAACCACAGAGTTGCAAGGAACCAGTGGATTTCTTCAAGGTCTGTCACACTGATGGATTCTCGCAAACTCGTCCCATCAGGTTCTGAACATGATGAAGAGCGAAAACAAATCAGATCTAGGTTAAGAAAAAGTCTAAGGAACGACCGTGAGCAGTGGTGGGTAACGAAAGTAAAAGAGATGGAAAAGGCGGCGTCTATAGGGAACACAAGACAGCTTTACAGACTAATAAAAGAAACTGGAATTAATAAGTCAAGTGTAAGTGAGATTATTTCGGAAAAAGATAATACTCTCATTTACTCCCAGTCCAGACGTTTAGAACGATGGGCGGAACATTTTAGAGAACAGTTCAGCTGGCCTTCAGCTACTCTACAACTACCCTCCATTCCCAGACAATGTGAATGGAACATTGAAGTAGGTCCCCCAACTCTTGCTGAAGTTCAAAAAGCTATAGTTAATCTGAAACGAGGAAGGGCAGCTGGTCCAGATGGATTGGCTCCAGAGGTCTTTAAGGATGGTGGTCCAATTTTAGCGATTAGGTTGACTAATATTTTAGCTAAGATCTGGGAATTAGACTTTATCCCATCTGACTGGTCGCAATCACTTATCGTCCCAATATATAAGAAAGGGTCAAAATCATCCTGTGACAACCACAGAGGGATTAGTTTAACAAACATAGTATCTAAAATACTGGCCTCGATAATTATCAGACGTCTAACTAAGACTCGTGAACTACAAACTCGAGAGAACCAAGCTGGCTTTAGACCTGGTCGTGGCTGCATCGACCACATATTCACCATTCGTCAGGTTCTAGAACACAGGCATACCTATCGGCGTCCGACGATGGTGGTCTTTCTTGACTTAAAAGCAGCGTTTGACTCTGTAGACCGCGAGACTCTGTGGCAGTGTCTGTCATTGAAAGGCGTACCTCAGAAGTACATAAACCTTGTGAAGGCTCTTTACTCGAACACTACCAGTCGAGTCAGGGCTTATGGCGAACTGTCATCTACTTTTGCAACTTCAAGTGGTGTCCGTCAAGGCTGTCCACTTTCTCCATTTTTGTTCAACTTCATCATAGACCTATTGATGGAAATAACACTCTCGTCGACTGAATTCTCGGGTATTGATCTCCTTCCAGGAGGTCCACTTATCGACTTAGAATACGCAGATGACATAGTCCTGTTTGGTGAAGACGCTGACAAAATGCAGAGTCTTCTGGTAGCACTAAGCAACAATGCCAGAATGTTTGGGATGCGCTTCTCTCCCTCTAAATGCAAGTTGTTGCTTCAGGACTGGTCTACATGAACACCTAAACTAAGGATAGGGAGTGAAGTAGTCGAACGCGTTGACAACTTCACTTATCTTGGAAGTCTGATCAGCCCTAATGGGTTGGTGTCTGACGAAATCTCAGCACGGATTCGAAAAGCTCGCTTGGCTTTTGCCAACTTACGTCACCTTTGGCGGAGGCGAGATATCCGTCTATCAATAAAAGGACGAGTATACTGCGCGGCAGTCCGTTCTGTCTTACTTTACGGCAGCGAAACATGGCCTTTAAGAGTAGAAGACACCCGTAAGCTACAAGTATTTGACCACAGATGCCTTAGAAATATTGCTGGCATCTGCTGGGATCACCGGGTAAGTAATAGTGAGGTTAGACGCAGGGTATTAGGGAGTGATGGTAAATCAGTTGATGAGGTTATGAATCTTCATCGACTGAGATGGTTGGGCCACGTGTTACGTATGCCTGAACACCGATTACCACGACGTGCAATGCTAACCGGTGTAGGGGATGGTTGGAAAAAAGTTAGGGGCGGCCAAACCAAAACGTGGCATCAGTGCTTGAAGTCACTAACTTCTAGTCTTAGCCATGTTGGTAGATGCAGACTACTTGGTTGGGGTCCGCGTGACTTTCGTAACCAGTGGTTGGAGACTCTTGGTGACATGACTCAGAATCGATCACAATGGCGTCGGTGTATACACTCCCTGTCTTCCCTTAAACTAAGAGATTAAAATCACTTCATATCTTTCTTTCTACGAACTAATTCTTCCTTCCTATACTATATCCTTATTGCAACCTTTGACCTAACCACTCCTATGAATCCGGTGTTCATCTTGTTGTGCTAATGAGTTATGGCAACCTGGACCGATGCACATATGTGCCTGGTCCTACGTTGTAGCTGACTGACTGACTGACTGATGCTATATTTAATGCTTACTTAATAAATAATTATCTTTTTTAATTTGCATTTCTTCTTACCTTTCTTCTTCTTCTTTTGTCTTTATTCTTTTCAGCATTAACTCAATTTATTCACAGTATACAATCTATTTACGTTGTTTATGGAAATTAATTGAAAATACTAAATGTTTAAATAAATCAACATTAAATTATTCAAATAGCAATATGTCTACATTGTTTAATATTTTATGCTCGGGTGAATTACCTACGCATTTAGTGGAACTTCAAAGGTTAGTTAGTTAATCCATTTAGACTTCAGTCAATATGGTTTACAACTAAACGAATTTCATTAATTGTTGAAAAGAATGTTGTAACCTCGTATGTGCTGGGATCATCGGGTAAGTAATAGTAAGGTTATGGGGCAGGGTATTAGGGAATGATGATGGTAAATCAGTTAGTGAGATTGTAAATTTTCATCGATTGAGATGGCTGGGCAACGTGTTACGTATGCCTGAACTACGATTACCACGACGCGCAATGCTAACCGGTGTAGGGGATGGTTGGAAGAAAGTTAGAGAAGGCAAAACCAAAGCGTGGCATCAATGCTCGAAGTCACTAAATTCTAGTCATAGCCATGTTGGTAGATATAGACTACTTGGTTGGGGTTTGTGTGACTATCGTAACCAATGGTTGGATACTCTTGGTGACATGACTCAGAATCGATCGACTACAATGGCTTGGGTGTATACACTCTTTGTCTTCCTTTAAACTATGAGATTAAAATCGCTTCATATACAATATTTCTTTTATATATTACCACTATTGAACTAACTACTATGAAGTCGATATTCATCTTGTTGTGCTAATGAGGTATGGCAACTTGGACCGATGTTGTATGTGCCTGGTCCTACGTTGTAACTGACTGACTGAATTTATCCTTCCCCAAAATGAGATTACCTCGATATTCGACTATAGTTGCATGTTAATTGTATTTTGATTAATGGTTAACAGTAGAATCCGCTTTGGTTTTTTCGTCTTAGTATAAAATGAATTGAATTGATTTATTTAGTATGTAGTAACCGTTGAAAGTTGATCTCATTTGGAGTGCTACAAAACAGAATTTACGTCCTAGTGTATCTCCTTAACAGTCCACACACTTCACCGGGAATCTAATTCAGGAGTTTCAGATCTGGCGTTGAACATCCAACAACTAGAACCACTTTGCTGGTGTCCACTAGTATCGTTTTCACGTCTGTAGACTCGGAACAGCATAACAATCATCCATGTTGGTAGTGGAACAGCTGTCACTATTGACTATGAATGGTCATCGCGCTATTCCGCACTTTATGGAACTTGGAATGATATTATTGGATTTAATTATTTCAACGGTTGTCTATTCTCTGAGAGATCCGAAGTTCCTGAGTTCTATCCCTAGTGCGGTTTCGGGTACTCACTTTCAAGGTGTTCTACATTTGGACAAAATTGCTGTTCAGTGTTTCACTGATATTTTATGTCATTCCAAATATTAATCTGTCATGAACAACACCTGTAGGTTAAACCAATCTCTTCAAATAACCTATTTATTTGTTTATTTAAACACAGTTATCTTCCACTGATATTTACATTTGCTGATTGTCTTCATCATCGCTTATTATGTTTAACTGATTCGGAAATCTGTGACATCTCATCGGAAGTGAACTACACCAACTCCAACGATTATCGTCATCAACAACCAATCAATAATAATAGTGAACCCTCACGAGGAGGTTGTGGTTTTCGTGCTGATGAATTATTACAAGTTGGTGCAAGACTTCGTGATCTTATGCTCGGCCTAATTGATTTGTCACATCCTGATCAAGTGCCGAAACAAACTCGTTGTAATTTACAAACAGATACACATTGTGTAGAATCAATGGAACAACCAAATTATGGTGCAGTATTACGTAGAATAGAACAATGGGTCGAAATAGCCGATCTTGGCAGTTCACCTATTGGTGATCTAATGATGCGAAATTATACACAATGGGTAAAACATTTTCTTAAATAATATAATAATACATTGCTATTACATTTTCGTGGACTGTCATTAACAAATATTTTGTAAACCATTTCACATACAAGTTCACTTGTGAGTTTATCAACGAGCATTATACCACAAGTCAAGCAATAGTGTTCCTAACTCTTAAAAGTATAACTCATTTACCAAATATAGATTTGGATTATTTTAGCTCGTAAAGTCGTTAATTATGGACCTGAATATTACAACTGCCAATCGCATTATTATTAGATCCTCACCACCTTGAACTTGTCTAGTCCTAATTCATGAAATTTATTATTTCCTTGTAAATATATGTTAATGGGTCTGTATATTCACCTGTAATTATATTCACTTTTCTTCTCCGTAATAATATATGACGTTTTCTACTCACGTAACTTATCCGTCTTCTACTTCTTTTTAGTTTCCCTAGCTGAAATAGAGTGACACTAAGGGGTTGTTTAGATAGTAATACATAAAACAACCGGACAACTGAAGAACTTGTCCTCCGGGGACGTTTAATAATGTATTAAATAATGGAAATGAATATAGAAAGAGTTTATTAACATGTATTCAGAATATTTTCACTATTGAGAAATTTGATGTACCGTATACTTTTCAAACTAAGTGTTTTATAACTTCAGCTCGTGTATTTATTGTTAGTGTATGTACACGTAGATATATGTGAATGAAAGTCATGTAAAGCGAAAACGCTTAACAAGAGGTTGGATAGCTCCGTAGCAACATCTTATATTGTGAACCTGGGTAACATGAGTTTGAATCCCACAGGCCGCATCAATTCCCTCAATATTGTAGGCAAATCCTACTGATAAGTACGAAACCATGCGTCGAGCAGTGTTTCTGTTCGACTACTTTCAGCTTGTACATTATATCCACTTGCTGTGTTATTTGACTTAATATTCATACTTATTTATTAGCTCTTCAACCAGGCGCAAATACATGTACTTGGTCTTGACCCACGCTCTAAGTTTGAGGGCTACTAATACTGAGCGGCTGGTTAAACCGAAGTAGGTGAGGTATGTTTGAACCTACAACTTAGTAGCTGAAAGTTGAACGTCCTAACCGCTAATCCACTTCTCCAGATTTATGCAGAATTGTGTGTGTATTTATGCATATAGCTGAATTTAACAATTGATTACTCTCTCATTCTGTATGTATAAAACTATTGTTTTTTTCTTTCAGTCGATACCGGATTTTCGTCTTTTACTATATTGTTGGTGTAGTTTACTGCGTCGAGTTGAACGATTAGTATTTCAAATCTATGATTGGGATCGTCGTTGCCGACGTCAACAAGATACTAGTCTGCCTATCTACCTTTTACAAAATCCACAATCCACAACGACAACAGCTTCTACAAATGCATCATCTACATTTTCATCATCATCCTCATCAACTGATATTGCACGCGTAACCAATTCACCACGTCTACCACTTGGCACACCAAGTCTTAGTCAAACATTTTGGTTGAAAGATAACTTATTTGATTTATTAAATACTACAGAATCACAAACTTCATGGTTTGAAAATCAAGGTTATCAAAGTACATTGGCATTAGCTGGTGCACCGTTTGGTTATTATAGTATTTTGAATCCAGATCGAAATCAAGGTTGGTCTAGTGTCATTTATTTGTCATATTATATTGATTAGAGGCATCATTGACTGAAGTTAGTTAAATAATCATTGAAAACCAGTAAGTAATGCACAGCCGTTTTGTCCTAGTATGGGATTCCTCAGCAGTACATATTCAGAATTCCACTGAGGATTGAATTCGAAGTTTTCTAGTGAGAAGTCGTGACCGTTAGAGTTTAGATATGTAGAGAGTTAAACTGACTAAAGTTATAAATGTGAATCATTTGTGTCAGTGCAGTGGTCGGCCTGTTAAGCGCTCGCTGCGTGGTCTGAGAAGATTTTTTTACAGTAATTAGTTGTCACAAACTTAAGTTATTTGAGAACTCATTGATTAATTAGTTAGTTGGCTTGTCCTAAGTAATAATCACCCACATCCAACTAAGTACATTCAACTTTCAATCCTTAAAAGGATTCAATTTTGACCTATCTAGCTCTCAGAATGTAGATGTTTCTGACATTCAAATTGAATTAAGCGGGTATGAATCCTACAGCGATCATCGATTTCCTTAAGTTTACAGGTACAACTTATTGAATAGAGCCAAGTAACATAAGACTCTGGGTATATTAAACAAAGGCACTCTCTCAATTCCCTTCAGCAATAGAATGATACTTGTAGTACTCTTTTTGTCTATCTCAAAATGTTTCTATAGCAAAATAATTTCTAATACATATTTGTTTGTCTGTTTTTTCTTTTAAATGTCAGTGGTACTAGAATCATTTTCTTTATCCAATCGTCAAATACGTCAAGTCTTATTATTGAGAAAAGTTCCATTTGTTATACCATTTGAAAAACGAGTTAAAGTAAGTACAGTGTGTATGTAACGTATATTATTGGTTGCCTATTCATTACATTGTTGTCATTGATTTAAGATATTCGTCCCCAAATGCCCTGGTACGGCCGAGCGTGGGGAGAGTCCGCTCTCCCTCTCGAAATACTCTCACACGATCACGCGTACACAGCCTCTGACAGGGAATTCCTACTCACTGCCTTCTCGTGGAGGGGGTGTTGTTTACGAAATTGAGAGGGCAAAAAGCGAATGTCCGGCGCATTAACCGGATTCCAAACCAATGGTGCACATGGGCTCCAGTATACTGCGGGAACAAATGGCATATGAACCAATCGTTGGTCACCGGCTTCTATGGGACTGTCAGTCAGTCAGCAACAACATAGAACTTCGTACGTACGTACGTCAGTTCGAGTTGCTACACCACATTAGCACAGAGATGCAGTAGTCAATTCAAATCCCGTAGTAGTAGAGGTAATAAGAGTAATCGGGAAAATCAGTGTTTGAAGATGTTACTTAAAGAGTATAATACAGTGAAATAAATTTGGGACGAGAAAACAAAAGAGACAAGGTAGAATAAGGAGATCAAGATTTTGGAGAACACATTTATTATTATTATTATTTATTTATTTGAACACATAAATATTGGTACAGGAGAGCGCCAATATATATGCGCCACACAAAACAATGGGAATTCGAAGAGAAGTAGAAAGGAAAAAAAACACGAAAAAAAAAACTAAGGAACGCAAAAGAAAGAGAGAGCAATGACGAAGAGGTACAATCAGAAGAAATCTTTCAGTTAAGGAAGATACAACCACTTTTTATGAAGAAAGTAAAAGAAGGTTACAGCAGGATCGCCACTGGCTTCTATTCTGAGCCATATCTGATAACGTCTCTAGCCACTGTGTAGCACCATCTCTCGGACCCCAGCCAGGGAGTCGTGAAGGACCAACACAAGCCAGCCCTTTGCAGCTTTCTTTCATGCCACGACACCATGTCATGCACTGACCACCTCTCCGCTTCTTCCAACCAGTCCCATAGTCGGCAAATAATGCACGACGTGGAATTCTCTGGGACGACATTCGGAGAACATGTCCAAGCCACCGAAGTCGGTGTTTCAAGATGGTGACACCAATTGAGTTATCATCTCTGTGCCCGAACACACGATGCCGAACCTCTGCATTACTGACTTGGTGTTGCCACTGAATGTCAGCAATCCTTCGGAGACAGCGATGATCGAACACAGAGAGTCGTCTAACGTCCTCAACTCGGAGAGGCCAGGTTTCACAAGCATAGAGCAAAACTGCTCTCACCGACGCGTTGTAGATCCGGCCTTTTACAGCCAGACTAACATCACGAAGGCGCCAAAGGTGGCCCAGATTGGCATAAGCCGCTCTGGCTTTCACTATTCGTGCATTGATCTCATCACTCACACCCCCACCAGCACTTATGCAGCTACCCAGATACACGAACTTCTCGACTACGTCTATCTGCTCACCATCCAGGGTGAGTACAGGATTGGAATCCCGCCAGTCTTGTAGAAGTACTTTGCACTTCGAAGGTGCAAAGCACATACCATACCTACGGACATTGATTGCCAACTGATTAAGTGCGGATTGCATGCCTTGGGCATTATCGCACAGTAAGACAATATCGTCCGCATACTCAAGGTCGAGAAGTCTTTCTCCAGGCAACAGATCCACACCACCATTACTTACATTCATCAGAGCTGTTTCCAGAATGTCATCGATGGCAAAGTTGAAGAGGAATGGTGAGATTGGGCAACCCTGTCCAACCCCACTGCTCGAATGGAACAATGGAGAGAGGTGGTTGTATGCCCTCACTCTGCCTGAGGTGTTTTTATACAGGGCTTTTAGGATGTTAATAAACTTCTCAGGCACACCCTTCTTCAATAGACAATCCCAGAGAACAGTCCTATCCAACGAATCGAAGGCAGCCCTGATGTCAAGAAACACTACGATTGTTGGCCTTTGAAAAGTATGGCGGTGTTCTAACATTTGGCGGAGGGAGAAGATATGATCAATACATCCTCGACCAGAACGAAACCCAGCCTGCTCCTCGCGAGTCAATCTTTCTCGGGTTTTGAACAACCTACGAAGAATGACGGAAGCCAATAGCTTGGACGCAATCGGAAGTAAACTTATCCCCTGATAGTTGTTACAAGAACGACGTGAACCCTTTTTAAAGATAGGGACAACTATCGACTCATTCCATGACGTTGGTACACTCTCTAGTTCCCAAACCTTTGTAAACAACGTCGTCAATTCCTTAGTCAAAAAGTCACCACCATCTTTAAACAGAGCCGGAGGTAAGTCATCTGTGCCAGGTGATTTGTAACGCTTCAAGAGTTGGAGTTCCTTGCGGACTTCCTCCTCATTTGGTGGATCAGTCGTCACCGGCCATGGAGGGCAGGACAGTCTGACCGATGTTGCCGGAGCAGCAGGCCAGTTGAACTGCCCTTCGAAAAATTCTGCCCATCGTCCAAGACGTCGATGGATGTTAGTGATTGGCATCCCATCATCCTCGCAGATTGTTTCACTCACACCAGACTTCTTGCTGCCAGTGGCTCGGATGAGTTGGAAGAGCTTCCGGTAGTTACCAGATGCAGCTGCTGCTTCCAGCTCATTAGCACGCATCGACCACCAGGCTTCTCGGTCCTTACGCAAGCTTTGCCCGATTTCCTTACGTAAAATCCTTCGTTTATGGTCAAACTCACGGTTACCCGGAGTAGACCGACGGGCTTCAATGAGTTGTAAGGAACCAGAAGAAACCCAGTGCTTAAAAGCGGGACGTTTCGCAAACCCACAACTGACTGTTCCCGCCATTTTCATGGCGTCATGCAATTGCAACCAATGCTCATCTATACTTTTCGGTGGAGTGGTAGCTAGCCTAGAGGCTAGCTCGGTTCGATACTTATTTGCAACAGAAGTTGCAACCAGCTTGCTAACATCAATCCGTTGATGGCGTTCACTTCGTTGTCCACTGAAAAGTAAGGCAAGATTGGCGCAGACTAAGGCATGGTCAGAGTCCAGATAGGTACTCCAAAAGGAGCGGCAGTCTTGTACACAACCACGCCAGCGGTAGCTGATCGCGATGTGATCAATCTGAGTCCAGGCTTGAAATGCAGAGGGAGGACGCCAGGTGGCACATCGGCGATGACTGTGCCGAAAGTTAGTGCTAGCCAGAAACAGGTTGTGGTCTGTGCAAAGTTGCAGTAGACGGTCCCCGTTATCTGACCTGCGACCAACGAGTCCCCATCGGCCACCTAAACGACTCTCTTCTGTGCCTAGACGCCCGACCTGAGTATTCAAGTCTCCGGCTAGTACTACAATATCTGTCGAACGCACTTTCTGGAGAAGAACAGATAACTGGTGGTAAAACTCATCCTTGATTGCATCCGGGCTGCAATCTGTCGGGGCATAGGCGGAGATGACGAAAAGACATCGTTTCTCACGCCGATTTCTTCTCACTTTGATGGAACTTTCTAATCTAACAGCACATAACCGACTGTTAATGGGGATCCAATCGACTAGTGCTGCCTCAGCTCTAGCGCTTAGTGCGACACCAACGCCAGCAAGACCAGACGAAGATGCCACAGGGTCCCCAGATAAGCGCACGTAAAACAAGCTTTTCGAAGCGACAGATGGAGATCGAATTTGTAGTACTTCGCCAGAGTCTTGAATACGGGTCTCGGATAGACAACACACGTCGATATTAAGACTTTCCAAAGACATAGCCAGCTCTATCTGTTGTCCGACCTGCATAAATGTGCGAACGTTGAAGGCAGCCAGTTTGAATGGTGCACGTGGTTTCAGAAAATCTGCTTCAGTCCTCGTATTCGGTGGTAACATACAATTTTCAACCGGACAGTGACTCGAGAACGTTTAGATACAGTCGGAATTCCACAGAGAGTGTATGGACCTGCGCACACCATTGCAAACGATTTTGAGCCATGTCATTCAGGGTCTCTAACCATCGGTTGCTATCATTTCGCGGTCACCAACCAGGTAGTCTAAACCTACTAACATGACTCAGTCCACTTGTCAGTGATTTCATGAACTTGTGCCATGTTTTGGTTTAGCCGCCCCTAGATTTCTTACAACCTACTCCTATACCACTGAACATCACACATCGAGGCAGTCGGTGGTTGGGCATACGTAACACATGTCCCAGTCATCTCAACTGATGAAGTTTCACCACTTCATCAATTGATTTGCCACCCTTATCTAGTGCTTGTTTCCTAACAACTGCATTATTTACTCGATGGTCTCAGGATATACGATCAGTGATTCGAAGACAACTATGATCAAATACTAGTAACCTACGAATATCCTCTACTCTTACCGGCCATGTTTCACAGCCATAAAGTAGGACCGAACGAACCGCTGCACAGTGAACACATCCTTTATTTGATAGACGGATATCTTGCCTACGCCATAAATGATACAAGTTGGCAAAAGCTAATCGAGCCTTCTATATATGTGCTGAGATTTCGTCACACACCAGACCACAAGGGCTGATGAGACTTCCAAGATAAGTGAAGCGATCGACACGCTCAATTACTTCACGTCCTATCATTATTTCGGGTGTCAATGCAACCCAATCCTGAAACGATATTTTGCATTTCGAGGGGGAGAATCGCATCCCGAACATGCTTGCATTGTTGCTTAGAGTGGTCAGAAGACTGCAGTTTGTCAGCATCTTCAAATAGGATTATGTCATCGGCTTATTATAAGTCAAAAAATGAATCTCTCGGTAGAAGTTTAACCCCTGGAAATTTAGATGGGGAAAGTGTCATCTCCAAAAGCACGTCAATTACAAAGTTAAACAAGAATGGAGAGAGTGGACAGCCCTGACGAATTCTGATGACAGTCCACCATAAGCTCTCACTCTACCAGTTGTGTTCGAGTAGAGAGCCTTCATAATGGTAATGTTCTTCTTTGGTACTCCTTTCAGTGACAAACACTGCCATGGAACTTCACGATCAATAGAGTCGAATGCCGCCTTAAGGTCGAG